CTTACTCTCTAATTCTTACTCTCAAATTCTTTAATTTCTTAACCTCAGTTTCTTAACCTCGACTTCTTACTCCCAAATCCCTACTCTCAGTTTCTTTAATTTCTTACTCTCAAATTCTTTAATTTCTTAACCTCGATTTCTTATTCCCAAATCCTTATTCTCAGTTTCTTTAATTTCTCACTCTCAAGTTCCTGCTCTCAAATCCTTACTCTCAGTTTCTTTAATTTCTTAACCTCGACTTCTTACTCCCAAATCCTTACTCTCAGTTTCTTTAATTTCTCACTCTCAAGTTCTTACTCTCAATTTCTAAATCTCAATTTTTTTTTTTAAAAAACCCCATTCATTAATTCCAGCTTCTCACTCTCAGTATTTCTAAATCTCAGGTTTTTAACCTCGATTTCTTAACCTCAATACTCCACCCAAAGCTCGGGTCATTGGGGCTGGATGGACATCAGGAATATTCTTCCCTTGGCATCGCTCGGATTTTCTCTCTCAGTGTTTTAGCTCTCCTTGGTAACCTGGTTTAGGGGTTTATTCCCAGATTTCCTTGAGGAAACAATTTTTCCTTGGAAAAAAACGCTTTTTTTTTTTTTTTTTTTCTTGGAAAACACGGCTTTTCCTGGAAAAAAAATTGCAGTTTTTCCGTGAAAAACACAATTCTCCTTGAAAAAAAAAAAATTGTTTCTTGGAAAATTGAGTTTTTTCCTTGAAAAAATGCTTTTTTTTTCCTCTGAAACCTCGGTTTTTCCTTGAAAAAAGCCACAACGGGGAGCATCGTGAGGGGACACTTTTAGGATGCCAAATTTTGTACAACTTCCAAAACTCCTGGGAATTTACCATTCCCAGTTTATTTCTGGGCATTTTTTCTTGCTCAGTTTGGGTTTTTCTTCTTTTCACTAAAAGCCAAGTCACTAAAAAATAAAGAGTTTGACTAAAAAGGGAAAAAAATCACTGTAAAGAATTCCTTTAAACCGAAATCTAACCAAGAAAAAGCTGCTTTTTTTCCGTGGAGGGCAGGGATTGGTAATCCCATAAATTGAGATATTTTGGGAAGGATGAGAGTGGATTCCTCTAAATTGATATAAAAATTAATTTTTATATCAACCATTCCTTAGTTGATGAAAATTCTCTCATGTTCCTGAAGAAATCCCTGAAATATTTGTCCTCCCACCTCCATTCCTGAATTTTCCCAGTAGTTGTTTTTAGCTTGGGATTTGCCAGGCTCGCTCCACTCCATTCCTTTATTTTCCTTAAAATTGGTGACAATTTTGGGATTAAAAAAAATTTTTTTTTTTTTTTTTGCTTTTTGCTTGGGGCTCTTGAGCAGGGCAAGGCATTAATTTTCCTTTGCTGCATGGGATTAATTTTCCTTTGCTCCATGGGATTCATCAGCTCCCTGGAATGGGACGGGAATTCAGGATCCCACCGCGGCTTTCCTTGGATCAACGCTTCGGGAATTCAGTGATAACACAACCCCAATATTCTGTTAATTTGGCATCACAACAAAACATTAATTGGTTAGCTCTGGAAGCGGCTTTTTTTTTGGGAGGGAGGGAGGAAAAGGAGGAATAATTCAGTGTTGGAAGCGGGATTGGTGAGAAAGCCTCAAAAAACGCCGAGTGGAGAGAGGCAAAACGCGGATCCTCAATTCCCAGCGCCCCTTCCCAAAATTTTGGGGGGTGCAGCTCAAGCCGAATCCGGACCCGGATCATTAACAGGGGAGTTTGTGGCATCAAATTCCCGCTGGGAATTCATTCCCGGAGAATTCCCGCAGGTTTTACCTCTCTCCAGGGCCCTTTATCCCGTTAGTGCATTAGGAGGGAGCAGCGGTTTTCCATCAGCTCCTGATGGGATCTAACCCTGTTAAAAATGGATTTCTGCTCCGGGAACCGGAGTGCCCAGGTGGGAATCACTTGGGAAATGCTCTCCTGAATCCCATAAATCATCGGGAAGAGGGGGAGGCTGGAGCCAGAGGAAGGATTTTCAGGACTAAGAGCGGGTGGATTGGTCAGGATCCAGCGGTTTTGGCTCACGTCCCTTGTCCCCATCCCCTGGGATGCACTTTTTCTTGGAAAACAAATTTTTTTTCCTTGAAAAAAACCACCGTTTTCCCTTGAAAATCCGCGATTTTTTTTTTTCCTTGAAAAAAACCCCACATGCATTCCCAAGTTCAATCCTGCTCCACCAGGAGGGATCAGCAGCTGGAGCTGGGGAGGGCCTGGCTGGATTTTGGGGGGTACACCCAGCCCACAGAGCAATTCCAAGCAGGATCTGACTCTCCAGAAGCCCCGATGGCAGCGGGAATTAGAGGGATCTTGTTTAATGTGTTAGGCAGGGACGTGGGAAAGGGGACGGGGAAGTTTTGGCCGTGAAGAAATCAACGGGAGCAAGGAAGGAAGGAAGGAAGGAAAATAAAATTCCCAAAAAAAAAGAAAGAAAGAAAAAAAAAAAAAAGCGGAATGTGCCGGACTTCTGGCAGCACGAGGTCCTACCTTTCAAGAGACCTTCACGGTCCATGTGGATAGACCAGGTGAAAAGGAGGAGGAGGAATGGGAATAAAACAGAGAGAAGCAGAAAGAGCCTGATCAGAGAGAGAAATGAGGAGGTTCTGCATTCACAGGGGCGGTGCTACGACCAAAAAAAAAAAAAAAAATTAAAAAAACCGGGGATCATCGCCTCGTTATACCAAATGGAGCCGGGAGAAGCGTTCCAGGCGGGATCAGCCTCCTCGGGTGTCCCCAGGAGCCATCCCAGCATGGAAAGGGCAGCGCAAGAAGGGCTGGGGGTGGCGTCCAGGGGACAGCGGTGACAGGACAAGGGTGGCTGGGCTCACCCCGGCGCCCTGTGCGATTCCTTGGGATGTCCCTATGGATAAACCTACACCTTCCCCGAGCTTTTCCAGAGTTTTCCTCCCTCACGAGGCTCCTGGGACAGTTCTGCGTCCTCCCCTCTCGCTGCCTGCTGAGGTGTCCCCTCCTGGCGCTGCCTGTGTCACCTGTGCCGTCATCCCGGATATCCCGACTGGGAATCCGGACCCTAAATCCGCTCGGCTCCCCCTTCCTGGCACGGGGAGTTTCCAGGAACATTTGGTATAATGAGGCAGCGGCACCGGCACGGAACGTGGTCCATGGATAACGGTCCTGGCTCGGGAAGGAGCTTCCCTGCTCGGGAATGCCGTTATCCCGGGATGGGAGCGGAGAGATGCGACGGGATGTCGGGGTGAGGAGCTCGGAGAGTGGCATGCACGGGGCGCTGGGGACGTGAGGGTGACGAGGGCACAGCAGCCATGCCGCGGGGAGGAGGGCACGGCAGCCGGGATGGGCTCCATTCCTGCTCTTCCCTGAAATCCTAAATTCTGCCCCTCCCGGAGCCCGGCCCCGCAATCAGCCCCGAGCTCCATCAGCCAAAGTCTCCGGCTTCCCCTTCCCTCCCTGCTGCCTCCCAGAGGGAAAGCTCCTGGAATTCTCCCGGGAATCCTGGCGTTCCTCAGGAGGAGGGGCAAAGTTTGTGGGTTTA